GGGGGGATAATAATAATAATATACCGTACTTATATAGCACATATCACAATATTAATATGTCTCTATACGGAAGTGTACCGCTCTAATGGGTCACTTATCACACACAAAATCCCTAAACATGGGTCTTACTTTTGACAAAAATACCATTAACAATAGGTCCGTTTTTTCAAAATGTCCAAAATTTGCAAACACTCGAAAAACACCCATATTTTTTTTATCGAGAAAAATGAGCGGCATACCCCATCCAAACCAAATCTGTGTACCCCCCCCGGGTCCTGCAAATCATTCAGATGAAGATTATTAGGGAGAAGTGGGGGGTAATGTGCTTATTATAAATAATAATAAATTTATATAGCGCAGCTTTTATACAAAATATATTCAGCTGCGCTGGTTAAGAGCTCCTTTTTACTATATTGTACAAAATAAGATAAAACGGATCAATTGTGATCATGTCACTCTAGAATGATCTGTTTTATTATGTTTTATCAAAATAACGCAACAAAATGTTGCATGTCTAGCACCAGAACCTTTTGCTATAATATATATTGTAACCTTTTCTTTAAAATTATTTAGCTTCTTCGCTGAAGCTCTACCCAAATCTTATCTCCCTTCCCCTCGCTTCGTGCCGATCATTGACCGAAAGGAATAAGCCCCATGCTTGTGAACCAGTTTGCTTTGGCTAAAAGAAAACGATCGATTCCTCATCCAAATTATATCTTGGATCATTCTAACGTCACTATTGATTGACCTTTTGATCAATCCACTAGGTACACACACGTTCCCCAGCAGCCGGATGTCACCTCTTTAACGTCCCCTCAGTGATGCCTTCTTCTTCTTCTTCTCTCTCTCCCTCTCTGTGTGCATGTATGTCTCTCTCTGTCTCTGTGTCTCTCTTTATATATCTCGCTCTTCATTTCGCCCTCTCTCTCTCTCTCTCTCTCTCTCTCTCTCTCTCTCTCTCTATCTCTCTCTTTCTCTTTTTCTCGCTTGCTCTCTCTGTCTTTTTATTTGCCTCTCTATAATCTCTCTTCTCCTGCTTATCCTATTTTTCGCCCTTCCACACACACACACACACACACGTTCTTATCCCGATACGTCCCAATAGCTTGTTATACGTCCTAGGTTATCTCTCTCTCATGTTAAATAAATAATAAACTTGTCATGCATTGCTATTTATAATTTTATGTTTGTTTGTACTCTCATACCCCGAGAGGGGATAGATTCACAATTAGTGTTCTAATTAAACTTGGAAAATTGAAAATCAACGATTACGTGTGAGCAAATAAAGGAACTATTTCAGAATATCTATTGAACGTGGATGAAATGAAAGTATTTTACCGAATATTACCAGCGTACAATACATGGATTAATTTCCATACACATTGATTTTTCTGCTTTTCATAATATAATAACAATAATTGCTCATAGCGCCTGAATGTTCAAGCAGTTTAACCAATAAATTCCTGCCAGGTACCCATTTACCTTGCCTGGGTCGAGTGTGGCAAATGTAGAATAATAACTTCCTAAAAGACGTTAGTGATGCGACGGGGATTCGAACCTGTACCTTGTGGTAATTCACAGTCCAGAGACTAAACTAGACCACAACATTTATACCTTTTGTTGTGAAGTCGTTACAAATCATCACGCTATATACAAAGAGAACAGGGAGTTTTTCACGATGATCTTAAGTTGAACTTATCTCTAATTTGACTTAACAATTATGGAAAGCCGTTAGCATCTTTGAAAATATTTTGTAAACATTATTTCAAAAGGCATAAAATATTGATTCAAACCATTCATATTTTCTATTATCAAGGAGATTTCATTTTCTTGGTGTCGAATTGATGAAAAGTCTAAAATACTTGAGTTTTTGCTTTTGAATATATTTTATTTTGAGGCTACAAATGGCTCTCCATAATGTTTAAGTCAAACTTAGAGTTAAAGTATCTTTGTGAAACGGGGCGAGAGCGGCTTTGATGACGTCACAGTTTGATTTGACATGGAACGTATGCTTGGTGATGAAACACATGTAATATCCTTTTTATTTACAAAGGCAACATGTACGCGCTATTCTGGGACATGACAGGTCATGAGGTCCTTGATCTATAAAATAAGTGTATGGTGCAAACGGTTTAGTCTGTTCGCTTTTTGTGTTATGTTATACGATGTTTGCCTCCATTTCCCTTCTCTTTCTTAATCATTAAGCAAGTCTTAAGTAAACCTGTACTATTTGCTATGAATTATGTTTTCTTACCTTTTCACTGACCTCTATTCTTTATCAATACTCCTTCATTTGAATTTTTCCTTTGTTCTCTCCTCATTTTTATTATTATAATTCTTTCCCACTGACCCATCAAAACGATTGTATATGCCTACCCAGTTCTCCTCTTTCTCTATTTACGGTAGAAACGACAGCCCGCCCTCAAAAGCAAACAAACAACACTAACAACATTTTGCAAACTTTATTGCAAAATGTTACGTATAAATTACTTTCTAATTTTTTCTTCATCTTGGTGCTGATCTTGTTTCCTGTAAAAAGGACCGCATCCTTGGAATATGGAACATAGACGAAAAATTTCATGCATGGCTGATTGTCAATGAAACGGAGTTAAGTCTTTTGTCATTTCTGCTTGTTGCTACGGCAGGCAGCCAGTGAAAACGAACTTTTTAAATCAAATTATGGAAATGCAAGCATCACTTTAAACAAAAAGAACTTTGTTATTCCTTGCTCATTTTTCCTGATTGAGGTGTATTATGAAAGGGCAGAAACTGAACTTTCTAGAAATGTGATTTTTTTTTTCTCGGAATTCAGATACCGCCCGCCAAAACCAAAAAGACATTTAATGTCTTTTTGGTTTCCTTCCTTCCAATTGCTTTTAATCACTCATGCGTGAAATATGCATCATATGAGAATATGAGAATATGGGAATCATTCTTGTCTCCCCTCTTTCCAAAAACTCTATGGCATCCTTCTTAAATGTGGTTTAGAGACGGAGGCAAAAGGATGCTTCAACACGATTGCAAAGACTTTCGAGAAATCAACCCAAGGGCAATTTGAATACCCTGTATATTAACCTATTAGAAATCCTTCCTGGAGTTTGTAATATCTTATTCTACTATCCGCATCTTTTACACAAAAGTGAAATAGAAATGGAATTGCGTTAGGGTGATTTTTTTATTCTTCGAAGTCTTTAGCACTTCATGAGTTTTATTATTTTCATCTGCTCTTTATCATTATTTCATCAGCATAATGGTATCTGTAGGCCTGTTTGATAACCTTCCTATTACCGGGCTGAAAGAAATGTCCCAAATCTTAGGAAATCATAATGCAATGAAACAGGGGGGCCCATCGGTAATACTTTGTTCTCGTAGAAATGGATACTTAAAATTCGAGGAAGTTGAATCACAAACATTGAAAATATTTAGTATTATTAAAAAGGGCATGCTTTTTTGAAAGAGCAATACATTTCAGGATAAAACGGTTATGTTTTCACGATGTTGCCAAACGTACCTGTGAATGTGTGTGTACTTATCTCGCTAAATAAATGCAAGTAGGGTACTTTTTGCGTACTTGGTATAAGCAAAGGATATGGTATTTGTTCCTGTTTTTGTTTTACTGAAAAGGGGGTCTTTTGGGGGGATCATTTTTGACTTCGCCATGCAAAGCGATGGCGCCTTTGAATATTATATGAAGTGACACCACTGCAAGGGTACAGGCGGTCTTGTGAATTGCGTCGGCATGCAGACCTTCCTCTGGCGATAGAGACCCAAGTCGAACATCCAGAACCTGAACCAATAGAAGCTTTGTTTTCACACCAGACAGTGTCAACATTGCCGTGATTGTACGCACCTGAGAGGTGGATATAACCCGCCTTTTTTTTTTTTACACAACTTGGTCGTCTGTTTAACAGGTAATATTGACGGGATTCCATCATAATGTGAAGCAGAGAGAGAAAGAGAGAAAGAGAGGGGAGAGAGGGAGAGAGGGAGGGAGGGAGAGAGAGAGAGAGAGAGAGAGAGAAAGAGAGAAAGAGAGGGGAGAGAGGGAGAGAGGGAGGGAGGGGAGAGAGAGAGAGAGAGAGAGAGAGAGAGAGAGAGAGAGGAAGGGGTGGGGGCCGGGGAGTGACGGAAGAACATAATAACGAAATGGTGTATTCGCGTTTGAATAATGTTTGCATTTCTAAACAGCAGGTCGATTGAAGAAGCAGTTTTTATTCTTATCTTATTATTATTATTATTTTTTGTGTGTTTCTCATGAAAATTACTATTGACACTTTTCTCACGTATTACATTATATTGAGTCCTTTTATTAGAAACGTTTTTTTTCTTTTGGTGAGCACCCATGATCGCCAATTTCTTTTTAATTAAGCCCTGTTATGAATATGCAAATTATTGGATTGGAATATGTTAATTTTAGAACATGACGTGTTGTTAATGTTTTTTTGTTGTTGGAAGTTGTAGTAGGGGATCTTTTAATTGCCCCGACCCCAAAATTGGGGGCTTGTCCGGAATCGAGTCTCACTCGGGACCTCTCGCACCCCAGCGAGAGGTGACCTACTCCCCGACCCAACAGCCCTCAGAGTAATGTTGTCCAGTCTCCAAAAACAAATTAAGTTTGCTTGTAAGTAAATTTATATGAAAACAGGGCCAGTTTTTCAAAACCGTCATAAGTCTAAGTAGGGACATCCCTAAGAATTCTATAACACGTTTTAATGGATGTCCAAGAAGTTAGGCTGATGACGGTTTCGAGAAAATACCCCCACTGACATATTCCTTTTTTTAAATTGCCGTTTCCAAATAAAATGCAACGTTAGATATGCAGGTACAACTTAAAACAAAAAATGTAATGCTCTGATTTCTTTATTTTTTTTCCTTTACCCCCCCCCCCCTTCTCCTCCCCCGTAGAGCTTAGTAATGGCAGTAGCCCCTTCAAACACTGAACTCTGCACTCGCCACTGGCGCTGGCCTCCGTTGTTTTACGTTTAAAACTATAGATGGCGCTCTTCAACTTTGTGGGAATGCAGATTGACAAGCCAATGGAAAAAACAAAACACCCTTCCTGGAATTTTGTTATCGAAGTTTGAAATAAATTATGATCAAAGACCGTTTTTTGAACTTACGTCATGAGATACAGTGATCAAGAACTACTTACTCTCGCTTGTACACTACCAGATGTCGAGGGAAGACTATGGTACAGACAGCAACGACGTCGTCGAGAAAGTAAGTTTTATGCTCTGCACTTCTTCAGTCCCACGTATTGATGAATCTTTTTTTTTGTCGCTACGCCTAGATCTAATTCTAGCTACGGACAGAGCTTTTTTGTCCTTTACAGATAAAGATTCTAGGTATACTATAGTACATATTCAGTTAAGACAGATGAATTACATGTAACGTGGAAATAATTTATAAACTTTTAAGGTTGAAAAGAACAAAAATAAAGAAAATCATTGTCTGACTAAGGCGCTAAGTAAGTTTGATTAAAAGTTTGACTTTCACTGTTTCATTGATGTGGAATCATCTAGATCTAGTCTATGATTGAATATCGGAAATTGAGAGAGAGAGAGAGAAAGTATGACGAACTTCAATAAGAAGAAAGCATATGACTATGAACCAAATAGCATAACCCCTGAAATACAAAAATCTAGTAGGCCTATAATCTATACTCTTGTCACGCCAAGTTATACTTCCAGTTATAGTTCCTAGCATACCTTTCGAAAGAGACGAACACAAGGTACAAGGTATGAGGAGGTAAAAGAAGAGGGAAGGAGGTGAGCAAGAAAGAAAGAAGAAAACATAGAGGAAGCTGAAGATAAAAGAGAATGGAGAGGAAGGGGAAGAGGACGAGAAAAAGTAGGAAAAGAGGAGGAAGAAATAAAAGTAAAATGAAGATGCTGCAGAAAAAGAGGATGATGAGGAAAGCATAGGTAGGGGTGAAAAAGAGGAAGAAGAAGAAGTAGAAGGAGGAGAAGGAAAAAACAGAGAAGGAGACTAAACATGAGAAGGATCAGGAGTAGGGGAAGAAGATGAAGAAGAAAACGATCAGTTGTGCAAAGAAAAAAAATCAAACTGATGCCTTAATTTGTTTGGTAGCAGCACTAGATAGACTTTGATTCTCTTGTTTACCATGCCAAAGTAAAAATGTGTTTATGTACTTTTTGTTATTGAGGATTGACCAACATTAATGTAATTTTGGCTTAAATTTTGATTTCCTTATCATGTTTCTTACTGCTTATAGTATATTTTTGTGTTTCTTCTCCTTACTCAGGTTACAGGGAAAGATTGTTCCGACTGAAATCCAACTTCCTCTTCTACTTTAGAATCCATGAAACAAGCAGGACAATTGATGTGAGATTATTGTGCTTTTATTCGTAAGGCTACCTGTTGAAATACCTTTCATAAATTATAGAGTAACATCCAAGAATAGAGCGGTGATAATAAATCCTCTTTTTCTTAGCAATATATGCCTCTGTGTAGTCAATAGCTCTATAAAGCCCCACTGTGCTACTTGCAGCTACTTGGTCCCTCTATAAAGAAGACAATGCCAACCGGTAAGCAGTGCCTGTTGGTCCCCCATGATCCTCTTTTTCTGATGTTAATTGAGAGCTGAGTTGATTACATAACCACCTGTCAGTGACCACGCTAACCCCTCTAATCCCTCCTGGCCAAACTAGTGCAGAGGGGCTTAAAGAGTCTTTTGTTTGAACTACAATGACAATGTCTTTGAACCTATCATGTACATTGATATAAGATACTGAAATAGAAATCCAGATATTTTCACAAATATGAAATTCTCGGCAATTGTAGACAGCCTTTCCTAATGCAAGACAGTATTTTATGCAGATTTTATTGTGTATCTACTCATGTGCGAATGATTCCAAAAGATTTCTCAAAAAGTGCATGCTTTCAGTCAATGTACAAGGATATAAATGAGGCTATTGTGCAGATTAGTTGTAAATGTAATTTACGTCACTTTAACCATAATTGTGAATTATTTTCTTCAGGGGGGGGGGGGGGGGTGGTTGAAAATTAATTTGCAACATGAAACTGATGCAAAAAAGGTAGTACCATCCTTTCCGACTGTTAAAAAGTCATTTAAAGACTAGTTAATAAATTAAATATTGTTTCTATTGATATTTTCAGCCCCTTGGGGCATTGCTATTAGAAAGATGTACAATTAGGCAGGAGCCTATGGACAATGGCCGCTATGTCTTCTCATTAGGTGAGTAATGTTAAAACCTTCTCTAGTTAAAGGGATCCGGTAACTTTGTCTTAGATCCTTTTAAAAGAATCCTTGATTGCTGCAATGAAAATTATAAACCTTAGGCCAGTCAGGAACCCCATGGCATGACTTTTACAAGCCGATTGCCTGTCTGATTATCAAGATTTTTATGATTTAAAATCGAAATCAAATTTTGCGTTTGCCAAACGGTTTTTATAACACTAAAGTCTATTGGGGAAACAAGTACCGGTAGAGGCAGTAGATTATAGATAAGATCATGTTTAATAGAAAAATGCTGAAACTCTAGTGATTAGCCGTTATTCACTTGCTACAAGTGTATTTTTCTTTATAAGTTTGTGTTGCCTATTTGCAGAGTACCAGCAGGAGAGAGATCACAAGCACTACTTTGCTGTTTCATCATTAGAAGAATACAAAAGATGGATAGATGCAATAAAAACATCAAGGTATCTGACTATGTCTTGTACACTAAAGGGAGAGGGGGGGGGGGGGGCATGTTCCCCAGATGGCCCTTGAAGGGGGTGCGAAAAACACAAAAGAGAGAAAGAGAAAGGGGAGAAAAGGAAGAAAAGTCACAATCCTCAAGGGTGTCCCCCAATTACGAAGGGTAAATTGTAATAGAAAAAGAGTTTAGAAGGGCTTAATATGTGAAACTTTTCTGAAGCTTGGTCACTCAATCTGTTTCAGGATCTCATAATTGCTCTACTCCTCATTGTGCCTCTATATTCTTCAGTGTAAAAAAATATTTGGGAATGTTCAACATTAGAAAAAATCTTAGCTTTCTGTTCCAATAGTTTATTCAAGCATGCAACCATCACATCATATTCGACTTGCGACATGCCCGAATATCCTTATATTAGAGTGCCTGAATATTCGGGCAGCAAGGTGCTAGTGAATTTTGACAACAAAATAACATTTTCAAAGAAATCAAAGTTTTTAACTTATTCCTTGTTGGCTCTGCTCACTCACAAAATCTAAAATCACAATAAAGTCAAATATCCTCATATTCAGGCAGCATGTATTTTGATCACAAAGTAATGACTTTACTACAATCAAGGATTGCCTGCTTGTATGTAGGTTAGTCCTAAAAAAAAAGATGTTGTATTGCCCTTTGCGACCGACCCCAAAATATTGAAATCTACATTCGTCTATATTTTGTTTTGTTTTTTTGTTACCGTTTTTATGAAAAAAAATGTATTGAAGCATTCAAACTGAGAAATATCAGCCCAAAGAGGAAGTTTTAAAAATTTAAAAAAAAAATTCTGACCGACCGACCGATCGATGTTTTGGCACCTAAAGGGCAATACAAGTATACAGCATCTTTTTTTCTAGTGTGAGCTTGTGGGGGGGGGGGGGGGGGGGGGGGGTGGGTGATGCAATTTCATCACTTGCCCCAGATGCCGAAATAAATACATGTAAATATGCCACTGTTTGTACATGTATCTCAAGGTGGATCATGATGCATGCCACCAAACTTTTCTTTGTTATCCTCTGCAAAGATAATGTGATTTCTGGCATGTTTGGGTGAACATCTGTTTCCTTGAAACTTTGTAGTATTTGTTTTTGATTCGCGAAAGATAGATTTATTCCAATGAATTGTAACCTTTTTCATGTTGTACATGTCGTATGAAGTAGTGAATAAACAATCGTTCTTATGTCTAATGTCTTTGTTTATACTAGTTATGAGAGGTTGAAATCAACATTCCTAATTCTACAAAGAGAACTGGTTAGAGTTAAGGATGTGGTAAGTTGATCTCCCTTGAGCCTTTTTTGTTTGGTTGTTGTTCAACCATTTAGAAAAATAAATTATTATTAGTAAGTGAAAACTCGCCTGGCTTTACGTTGATGTGAACTTTTTGAAAGTCGCAAAAGTTTCTTGCGCTGAAAATTTGATTTCTTAACAAATCACGTAAATTCAATGTCACAAATTTCTGGTTGTACAGTGCGTTAATGAAATAGTCTGATTACAGGTATGACCTATTTTATAATCGGTGTTTTTTTATGCTATTTAAAACGAACAGCAGAAGCACAAGGATGCCTCACCCAAGCCAGCAAGACGTGCTCCACCTCGACCATCCCACCCTCCAGCTTTCAAACAACAGCCTGCTAAAAAACCCAAGGAAACCACAGGTAACGTACTTACTTCCTGCTAAAATGCGTGAAGTAATGTTGTGGTCTAGTGGATACATAAACCAACATTTGATCACACGGTTCATGGTTCGGGTCCTGCCCTGGCAAGACACCAATCTGCATTTGTCAGTCTCCTTCCAGGAGGATGTTTCACAAAGACTAAGATCGACTTTAAGTTGGACCGAACTATGGCAGGCGGTTCATGCCATTGATTTTTCTCACCATTATGATCTTTAGATTATATTTTTTCCTTCAATAATGAATTATCAACAAATGTAAATTCTGTATATTTGTGACCATGATTTGCACGTCTCTTAAGGGACCAATGCCAGTAAACGGTGAAAGCAAAAATCAGCAAAAAGTGGCATGAATGGCCTGCCATAGTTAAATCTTATTTAAAGTCAATCTTAATTCTTGTGAAACACTCCTCCCCAGGTGTTGTAAATGGGTGCCAGGGCAGCTGGGCTAAAGGAAGGGTTTATAGTACACTGGATGCAGTTAATGTTGCGCAATTCTGTCAGCAATTCAATGTACTATCGGCAGGCATGTAGACGGGTAGAGTTCCATTTTCGTAAACTTCAAAAAAGACCTGCACATATTCAAGGTACTGTAACTAATACACAATCAATGTCGTATATAATTATAGTTGATGTATATCTATGTCAGTACTCTGCCTGTAAGCAATTGTTTCTCGATTGACATCATTATCAGTATTCAGGCCAAATGAAAGATATGACACTGAAAATGAACAATATAATTATGTCAAAATAGTGGCTTTGAATAATGATCCTTTACTGATCTCCATTGTTGGTCAAACAGTTTTGAGCGTCAGGTTACGCCTGGCTGGAATGCTCCCCAGGGAGTGGAGATTGTGCACACATTGTGTGCGGACAAGTGTTGAATTCAATGACCAGGGTAATAATATATCTGTTAAGCGCTTAGAGACATCATACATGTATTATGCGCTATATAAAAGCGGAGTTATTATTATTATTCCAGTGTATTCTGTGGTGTACTAGAAACCATGTGCATGTACAAAACTTGTTACTACTAACCGAGTCGTGGGGGATGGTGGACGTGTATGCATCATTCAAACATGGCTCTCTTCAACATGCCCCTTAATTTCATAATATATATTTAGGTAATTAATGATCTGTCATTCGCATTGTTCTCATTTTCATCATGTCTGTTTAATGTACAAATATATCAGATTGATTTTTTTTTCATACATGTATGTATCAGGTATGCTTATATTGAAACAGAAAACAATTGAAATCAAGGTCAAATGAAATAAATTCATGGAAGTCGGTTGTAGTCACGTAGTAGACCAAAATATCAGTAAGCCCGCCTTTTCTTGTTTGTTTTTTTGGTGCTGGTCAGGGTCTCAAAGCATAGAGACCATTTTCCATGTTTCATAAAAGTTAGGATATTCAAAATTAAATTCATTTCTGAGATATTTCCTTGTCTCCATGTGTACCCTTGTTTAGTATCGTGTACCCTTTTGAAAGCATAAAATGTATATAAATTAACTGAAACGTATTTATTAAATGCTAGTGTCTATAAAGAATCATTTTTTTATCTCGTTCTAATTCTAATTCTTTCCCTATCTCTCCAGAATCACCACAAGTGAAAACAGAGGCGGACGTAGGGGGAGTCTTAGTGGATATTACCTGACACTAGGAGACGTTGATTGGAAGAGTGAATTTAACAAAAATCATGAATTATTATAGCGCCTTGTCAAAAAAATATTTTTATGAATGCGGCATAGTATATAGGAAGGGTTATTGAATACATCTTATACTGTATGTCTTTTGCAACTCTGCTATGTTAGGAAATGCATGCTTTGAATGTCTGAATTATTTTAATAGTTTGTATTTAATATGAGATTCAGAAAAATAGTGGAACATTGCAGAAGCTTTTCACAACTCAAAATGTCTTTCACTGTCCTGGCCGCGTCTTATTCTTATGTACCACAGCGAGCCCAGATTGAGCCCGCGAGGGAAACCTGCACATGCGCACTCGTGAAAGAAACCAGCGCATGTGCACATGGAATCCGGTAGGGTGGTTAATAGGATGATAGTAATTATACAAATCAACCTTTCATCAACTCATCGTCAGCTCCATCGGTAAGAACGGCGTGTTACTAATACCACTTTGGAGTTGACTTGAGGGTTCGAGTCTCAGTTTCTATTCAGTTTTTTTTTGCCTTTATAATTAGTAATGCAAAGCAATGAATAATCAAAGTCTAATTGTTTGTGACCTCTTTGCAATTTTACGTAGCTCGTTATGTATGAAAATGAGTTCATACTGGAATCGGGGCTCGCTTTGGTACGAAAAAATAAGACGCGTCCTGGCCATGTTACAACTGTATAGACCAGTTTGAAGAAAGTACATGTACAATTTACCCCAAATACCCACAGATCTATTACTCACAGAGAAACCCCCACTTTGTGCATATCTTTTGTTAGCCCCCTTGAAAAGAATACTTCCACCGATGCATCACAGAAAGCACGATCAGTGCATATACATGATTGCCTTTGCTAAAGTGAATCACTCTTTTTTTAAAGCTTGCCGTTTTTGATATGCTGGCTTCATTTATTGTTCAAAAACTTGGCTTTAATAATACTTAGCAGAATAACAAATTATATATACCCTAAATGTATTGATATTCAGGCCACATGTATAAAACTATAGAGTGTGTCAAATTCATTTGAGCTACTTGTTCATTCTATTTAATATCCTACATAAGATAAATGCTCATGGATGACCTTAGCATCTCTGATGTATGATTATTTTAAAGGCATATTATACAGAAGTTTGAGGCTATATTTTGTTTCATGACATACATGCACAGACTCGAGTATCCAAATACATGTATTTTAATTTCTATGTGATTTTTGTATGAGTTCTTAAAGTATGATAAGATATATACGATACAAATGCAGTGTGATAAACATATACAGGTATTTGTACATTAAAAACTTAACTGGAATTATATGCATGCATACAGGTAGGCTATTCATAATGCTTCCAGAATTATAAAATTGTAGCAATTTGTATAGTGATTTAATATTATATATTTTTTTAACACTGAGATCTGAGTTCTGATGATACATATGCTGATTATACATACAAGGAGTATGCCAAAAGGCATGTGATTGGAAAAAATCCATTGAATTTTCTGAGGGAGCAACATGTGTTTGAGAGCCAATCATATAACAAGGTAATCTAACCTCGGTTGGTTGAAATGGATGAAAAGAGAAAATCAGAGAAATAGAGTATGTCGAGGGTTTGAATGAAATTTGTCAAACCACAAGTTCTGAATTTGTCAAACCACAAGTTCTGAATTTGTATCTGAAGTTGTTATCAATATACATATGGGACTCCCAAATCGCTGTAATAGTCATTCAACTGTGATACTACTCACATACCTGGTGATACTATGGAGGACAACTCTACCTTTTGTTACACATCAAATACATGTATCTCAAATGTCTGGTTTGTTCCCGTGTCTTTTACCTGTGAACAGGGAGCAAAATATGTGCTTTGGATGTTGTCATAAATCCCCCCCCCCCCAAAAAAAAATAAAAACAAGTTTGTAAAATATTTGGTAAATGATGCTTAGTTATTTGGTGTATTGGGACGAATGGCAGAGATGTCCAACACTACATTACAGTTACATAACTGGCCAATTTAAAATGACCATATAATTATATATATAGTGATTACAACCTACATGTACAATTACATGTACCTTCTTTGTATTGTTTGCCCAATTTTGTTCAAAATTTCATCAATGCACTTCTTTGTTTATTCTGCTTCCCATCATAGCAACTTGATAGTATAGTTGGATCTATCTTTGAAGATAAAGTTGAGTTCTGGTCATGCGATTGCATTGTCGAATCGTCTAATTGAATGCCATGAATTCATCTTAACTAAAAAAAAAATTGCTTGGATTTTCAATTAGTGACATATGTACCCAATGATGAAAAAACACTTCCTAAATGTTTGTTCATCGTAATTTGATAGCATTGATAAAATGAATTCACAGTAGTTAGTTTAGGACCACTAGCAAAATTTGTTAACAATTTATGCTCTTGAAAGTTCCTGCTTTTTTAGATTATAAAACGAACATCATCTTGAAAATACATGCACTTCTGTCATTCATTACATTTAATTAGTGTCTGGTTCTTGACATTTGCAATACTGAAATTCATCATGTGCCTTTGTTGTGCAAAGTTTATTTTATCATGTAGCAAATATATTTTAACTAGTATATAACTAAATATACAGGGTGTATTTGTGTGAATTTTGTGTTTGATAACGCAATGGAGAGGAGAAATAATAGGAGAGGAAGACAGGTGGAAAAGGTGAAGAATAGAGAAGAGAAAAAGATGAGAAGCTAAAGAGAAGGAGATGGAGAAAGGAGGAAAACAAGAAGAAGAGGAAATGAGATGGAAAGTAAAATGTGCAAAGGAAACTAAAATGAAGATGAGAAAGAAAAAAAAGTGAAGAGGTGAAGAGAGATTGAATGAAGATATTAAAAGGAGAAAGAAGAAACGGAAAGATACATGTACCTGGTACATGCATATGGAAAAGATAAAGAAAGGAAGAGATTTGAGAGGTAAAGACCTACTATAAGAGAACAATGATTATGGAGAGAGAAAGGAAAATGGTGGAAAGGGTTGAAGTCTCTGCAATATCACGATCGTATGAAATTCCTCTCGGGGTTTCTCCTCTCTTTTCACTACAGGTAAGCTCACCCTCCATATGACATGCACAACTCTCCCTCTCTCTTTCCATTTGTCATCTCATTCTTGCCAACCTCTCTATTTTTCTTCTTCCAGTTGCTGACCTGCTTAATTTCATCAGAAAATATCAGAATTCTCAAGTAATGGATGAAGATCAGTATTTCTCAAATAAAGTGGAACCTCATCGTTAAGAACATGTTCTTACAAACTTGTCATTGCACATTAATTTTGACGGTCCCAATTTTTTTATCTCTAGTATAATAAAGTAATATCCTCGCTTACAGAATTTATTAAAACAAACTTTCACTGTAAAGCAGAATGCCATTAGTACTGAATTTGTACAGATCAATAATTTTCAAGATTATCAATGTTCAGCACTGCTTAGCAGCTCTCCAATTTGACTCTGTCTCTCTTCTTTTTCTAAACTTCTCAACAATTGCGCACGCATCTTCTCCTCCTTAGTCTCACTTTCCCATTTCCCCTTTTAAAATTGTTCATATCAATTTAGAAGATAGAAGATCTCAAACCATGTAAGTTCAAACTGGAACACATATCTCATTCAAGACATCAAGTTTGGAAATTTCTCTTTTGGAAACTTTCGCTACAAATTTACTTCAAGCCATGAAAGAATATTCAAGTAAAATAAGCCATTCTGATCCAAAGCAACAAAATTTATTCAAACATCACTTCAGCTGGAACATTCAAATCTCATAGCAGTACATCATATTTCAGCACAAGAGTTAATTTAGCTGTTGGTAGTGAATCCCTCATACTCATCAAGTAGTGATGTAAGATGGTACAAGACACATGATCCTTGGTCTTAATGAAGTGTTGGAAACTGCAAGGGAAGACAAAAGAAATGATAAAATAAGAAGTTGTAAGAACAAACATACCAGGGGGGTGTTTCACAATGTTTTCCCAATTATGGAAAGCCATTAGCATCTATGAAAATATTTTGTAAAAGTAATTTTAAACGCATAAAATAATGATTCAAATCATTCATATTTTCCATGATTAAGGAGATTTATAAAAAGTCTAGAATACTTGAATTTTTGCTTTTGAATTTATTTTATTTTAGGGCTACAAATGGCTCTCCATAATTTTTTGAGTCCAACTTAGGATCTTTGTGAAAGTTTCAAGAAATTGCCAAAGGCTAATACAAATCATGTTGAGATTATGTAACATGTCATTGCTAGTACTGAAATTTGCCTGTGGAAAGAACAATCCCAAGAAGAGAAAAAATTCTCCCAAGTACAAGTAAAAAATATGTCAATGAGAGGTTGTAACAAGCAAAAATGCTTAGGTCCTCCAACATTTTCCCTTTTAGGCTGGTTCGCTATTTAGCCAACATGTTAACAAATATAAATACAATAAAATAATCAATAACCGCAAAAAAGTGACTCGATAACAATGTTGAATTTTGATGAAAAATGCTGCATAATTTTTGTATGAAATTTTACTCATTATATTCCTTCTACTGTACTAACCCTCTAACATGCAAAAGATCCTGATTTTTGTTTTCATACCACAAAGATATTTATGGTTTTCTTTGAAGGCGTCACTGTGCAACACCCTCTAACAGTAAATGTTGAATTTTCCCCAACCGTTTTCCCATGAACATAAGACATACAACAGGCTTTTAAAAATCTTTCAACACTTAAATATGTGTGGAATGGTATACCGGTAGATATATAGAGTCAATTCATTGTGTGTGAATATTTACATTCACCTAAAATGTAATTAAATTGTAATAATATAGTTGGGAGAATTAAGAAATTGATAAGATCAGTTTTTCCCAATTTTTATCATCAATAATGGTCTCTTTCCATTCAAACTTTCAGATTATCTTCACTACCTAAGCACCATTTTCTCTCATCTGAACAATGTTACCAAGTCCCTCTAACAGCTCTTAATAACTTACCTTTTGCATGGTCTCTGGCTCAGCCCGTCTGTTCACCTCAGCCTTCTGGCTTCTCTCTCACTCTCCAACAGTGTGAGGATGTCTCCCTCGCGGACTGGCCCCTTGACATTTCGGATAATGGATCGGTTGGAGTCGTCCAAGAACTCTACTCGGACCTGTGTACACTGTCCCTGGGACCCGGTGCGGCCCAGCACTTTGGTGACCTATGATAGGGGGAATATATATATGTTTTCATTGACGTCCTCACCAATGTGACTACAAAAAACATGTTATTTCCAAATAGTTACTACAAATAGGGTCTCTGAACGATTTTTCAATTTTTCCCTTTTGGTTTGTTTTTCATTTTTGTTGAATAATCGGAACAAAGCGACAATTCAGAAGAACACATTTCAAATCTCAAGACTCACTAATGTTACTAGCAAAAGAAACAGCACCCCCCCCCCCCAAAAAAAAAAATAAAGGCAATATTGATTCAAATTTTGTCCAGAATTGACAAAAAAGTGGTAGATCTACACCCTAACTTACAGTTGGACAATGTTCTAATTTTGCTCAACCCCAAAGGCAGTTTACAGCAACATGCGTACACTTTGCCTATCCTCGTCGCGATGCAGCGCACATATCCGTTGAGTAAAACTGTAAGCTCTGCATGTACCACTTTTAAGTCCACTATGGACAAAAATTGGATGAATGTTCCCCAGATTTTTTTGGGCTGTTAATCTTTTGATAGAAACATCGATGAGTCTTGAAATTTGAAATAAGTTGATTTTATCGCAAACATATATGATATATAAATAATATATGAAGACCTAACTTTACTATCAGTACAGGGAACTGGTCCGGAAATGAGGATCGTCTGCATTTTAAGGTTAGGGTAAAATGACCGTTTTGCAGCGCGGCCGAGTTGTTCTCAAGTCCAAGTTAGCCCGGATCCATCCTCATTAACGCAGACAAAATGCTTCCTTAAAAATAAGGATTGTTTGCATTTTATCAGACGTTTTTTTCTTTGGCGCTCTACAGGTTTTGGGCTACGCGTAATAAAATACCCCCAGTTCACCGTCTACTTTTATGCCTATGGGTTGTCCGTCTTCCCGAGGATTTAGCGCTCATAACATGAACAGTAGGGGCGCTGGTCCGAGAATGAGGATCGTCCTCATAAACAAGGATATCCTCATAAACGCTGACAAAATGCGTCCTCAAAAATAAGGGTCGTCTGCATTTTCGAGGACATTTGATTTTCATCAACGCTCTGGGGGTTTTTATGTTACAGAACCGCTCGCTGGCGATGCCAAAAATGGATTCCCCAGGGAAAAATAAATTAGAGTAAAGGAGGGGGTAATCGACCAGCTCCAGTTTTCGGCCGATTGGTTGGATGCAAGGTAAAATCCCTTTAAAATAATAGCATAACACATATCCCACACATACCATGCCAGTGTCACTGAAGAACCACATTTGCAATGAAAAATATATCCTAAAATATCACATTTTAGCGATGTAATTGGCGGTCCCGCTACCCGAATCTGAAAAATCGAGTATCTTACGCGTGTCTGTAAGAAATATGGGTACCATAAAATGAGCTTTATTTCAAGTATTTTTCAGATTTAGAGCCCGATTTTGTGCTAGTCGCAAGCTCAAAAGTATCTCATCGCGTGTATTAAAACGATGCAGCCGCACACCGCAACGCACCCACGATATCTCTGTCTAATTCAGATTCCAATTTCCGATCACCGCAGTACTAGTTTTCGCCTGGCGAGCTCCGGGGAGCTCCAGCGTGCCGTGGGATATCTGCTCCGCCCGCTAGTGCTATAGATCAGCGCGGAAACGCACGGTGCGTGCGCGCGCTTCCTATTGACTTTGTACATGCGGTCGAAAACTGGTACGCTATGCCGAAAACTGACTCCGAAACAGTGAAAATTGAAATAAATATTGTCATGGCAATTCGTGATTTTTTTCTGGGATTCTTGTTTAAGTTGTTTTGTTTAAATAATAATAATATTTGCTTCATGATTTGAAAAAAAATGATAATAAATAGGAAGTAAAGGGTCCCAAAAATAGGATTTTGTCTTAAAGCTTATCTGCCGTAGTTTATAGGAGGGATTAGACTGCCCTGCAAGGTCACTGGACAGGTAGTTATCTCATCAACTCAGCTCTCAGTTAACATAAGAAAAAGAGGATCATGGGGGACCAATGGTCACCGATTAGACCTAGATCTAGACTCTAGTCATTGTTTGTTATATAGAGGGCTTAAGTAGCTACAAGTAGTGCAGTGGGCCTTTAAGTGGCCGAAAACCGGCTCCTTTACTCTATGTGTAGACTCTAGGTCTCTGTACAAAGTCAATGTAAATTGCATCAAGAAAATCATTGCAGAATCCGTTTTTTGCATCGCCAATGCTCAATCCAAAATATGAGACGACGGTCCTTATTTTTTAGGACGCATCGGTCCGTGTTTACGAAGACGATCCTTATTCTCGGACCAGCGCCCCTACTGATGAAAGACTGTACAAAGTCAATGAGAAATGCATCGAGAAAATCATTGCACAATCGTTTTTTGAATCGCCGTGCGGATGAGGCGGATCAGAAATCAGAAACATTTGCAAAAATGTGGACAATCCTTTTTTGCGGATGCGTCTCTCCGCGTTTATGAAGTAATGAAGACAACCCTGGTTTGTGCGGTCGATCCTTATTCTCGTACCAGCGCCCAGCCCGGGCAGATTCCGTGGCATCGGCATGAATGATCAACGGCCGTACTGTCCTACCCTACACCGTACCGCACTGCACTGGGTGCATTTGCAATTCCATGCACACGCGTGCAGCCATCAGCCATCGGCTCGCCGAACTCATTTACTTGTTGTTAATTTTCAATTATATTCATTGAACTAGGGTTTCTAAACTGGGCGTAAATTAACTTCAATATCTAAAGGTACATTGGATTATAGATTTTTAGAAAAAATTTATAGGAAAAGATAAATTAACCTTTGCAAGTTTGACTGGCTTATCCATGTCGTTAGTGGGAAACTCGTGTCCGCTGAAAAGGACAAGACATGGAATAGACTTAACTCGTCCCTCGAACGACGTCCACATGCAACTCGACCCTAATAATCAGCTAAAAATAGGCTTATTATGTTCATGTACGTACAGTACAATGTATATCTATATGCTTGATGATTGATAAAATGATGACAAAAGTTGGGGGTGGGCTCAGGGGTTTGAGCCCTCCCCACTTTTCGACACTCTGGAATGGGTTTTTTTTAAAGAAGAAGAAAGAACGCATTTCAATGCAAGAATTATAGGAAAAAATCTTCTGTGTGCCCATGAGCCACAATGTATGGTATACAGAAGATGTTTGTATGTTGGGGACCGGGGTAAAATTGAAAAATGATTGCATTTCTTTTTTTTTTTTTCGTTTGTGGGAACTGCCCCCTATCCTAGCCCCCGCTGCGTACATATGGTTCAGTGGCCAAGCAATGACCTCGTATATACTGTGAGGCCCCAGGATCAAAACCGTCACGTACGGTCGATGTGCTATGTTAGTGCCCTTTTGTGGGGCATAATCCTCACTTTTATGACTTAAGGGCGTAGTTCCCCTAGTTGATAAGCATAATTGCATACACATGCTTTAGCAGTCACGCGAAACAAACACTGGCGAATTATTATTCAATAAAATATGAGAATGTCTATAAGATTGGGGTAAAAAAAAATAATATTCCAACTATATAAGCGACAGTGTATTCCCGGGCCCTATTCCCGTTTGGAAAGTATATACCAGAACTGCAGAACTTTGCATATTACCTCTAAAAGTGGTCTTGGAGGAGGCCGATATTATAGGTTATATATGCTTTAGCAGTAACGTTAGCTGACTTAAAGAAGGCTTATAGGCGTAAAAGGATTTAATGCAAGGATAATTGATGAAATGTGAAAATGTCAGACATGATTGGCATTCCATTATTATGCGTTTGTTGGATTTACATTATTGGTGTATTACGTTAAATACAAAATGATTATGACGATTTCATTTCTACATATCTTTTTATATTAAAAAAAAAACACATTTTGTTTTAGACAAAAAAAGAATAGTTTTCAGAATACAAATTGCTAAATAGTCCTTTAGTCTTTTTATACTTGTTCGTTCATGTTTTATGTTCAGTATGATTCATTTTTGTGTGATGATTTTTGCCTTTGAATTTACTATGGATGTCAGAACTATAATGTTTTTTTTGTATTATGTGAATGCCTTTGATATGTCCGTCTTTGATACTATTCTCATTTCTCCTTTGGTTTTCACTGACTACTTTTGAACATTAACTTAATCTGTTCACATTGATGTATATTTCATATATATGCCTATTGTATTGCCATTTGTATAAGTTTATTTGCATTGTTTTATTATTTTGAAATATGCAATTGTTTATCCTAGTATTTCGTTTGTTATAGAGACTTCGGTGGTATAAGCGCTTTATAGGCACCGTTTTTATTCAGTCTACAGGAAGCTATGTTTTATTTTGTTGGATCATTAATCTTTATCATAATGTTCTTGAATATCGGCTTCGAAACTTTCGTGGTATCTTTATTTGGCTTCAATTACCTTTTTTAATTTAGGAAACTAATGTAGAATTTCCAATGTAATTCCACAGTTTTATATCTTTTAATTTTTTTTTTATAGGGCCTATATATTGCCCTACAAAACAAATCTGCCACAAACTTTATATAAGTGAGAGGATTAAGAGATGATTTGACAGAAGTCGCTTGCATTAGATTATAATTTATCTTTCACCTATAAAAGCCCCCCCCCCCCAAAAAAAAAAAAAACAAACAACATGTTTAGCATCCTGCTTTTTTGAAAAATAGGAAGGAGGAGGCCCTTTTTTTTCTTCTTCAAAATGGCCGCTCGGTACATTTTCCCTGACAGTCGGGCTATTTTTCAAGATGGCCGCCTGATTTTTGTTTTTTAATATCAGAAATAGTTCCATTTTTAGCAGTGTTTTTCATGTGTTTTTTTCTTGAAAAGAAAAAGAAAAAAAAGGAGGCGTCCCCCAAAGGAAGCGGGCGGGGACTCTAAACATGTATATATTTGTTAATGGCCTTAGCAATTAAGTGTATCATTTAATGTTTAGATATTGCTTCAGGTAATAGTTAATAAAGATAAAGTGACCTGCCAGTTTTATTATCTAAAATATGCCCGTAATATATCAAATTTAAAATTATAAATTATATAAAGTGAATGAACTAATTTTTTTTTGCCCTCGCAAATGTGAAAATCGCGCCAACCGATATTGCGCTCAGTGGGGGGGGGGGGGGGGGGGGGGGGGGGGGGGGGGGGGGAGGAGTATTAATTTTGTTTTGTCCCTTGACAAAATTGAGGGGGGTTAACCTCCAAAATACCCCCCCCCCCCCCCTGCGTACCCGTCTGTACATATTTAAATAATATATTTTTAAAAAGCGGCACTATAACGCACGGGGAAGGGGGCAGTGCACCGCAGTCTTTCTAGAAACTGAACTATAGGAGGAAAATGATTATGTGCGGCAAGGCAAGGCCTATGGGTCATTTAAAGCTCAAGTCCACTCCAAAAATAACTTACTTTCAATAGAACCAGAAAAATCAGACAAACCAATCAAAACAAGTTTGAGCAAAATCGGATAACTAATAAGAAAGTTATGAATTTTTAATGACATGAAAAACTTTGAAAATCACTACACAAATTGGCAACTCACTCATGAGTCTGTGACGTATGGTCCTCACTATCCACTAATTATTTTCTTTATATTGATAACATAAATTTCCTATTTTCACCCTAAGAATCTTATTTCTTCACACCAGCATCCAAGTTAGATTGTTGGTAATATGTTTTTGTGTGGATGCACAAATAAAGAGTAATTTTTGTCCAGTTAAATCATGAAAAATTGAATTTTGATAAACTATTTTTTATAAAATTCAATAATTATGAATATACAATATTCAGAAAATAGTATCAATTTTTCAAAATTCATAGGTTTTTGGGAAATGTCATGCACGTAATATGATACAAATCATATAACCTGGGCAAAGGCATGGGGAAATCTAGTTTTGGGTGATAAAAAGGGAAATTAATGGGATTAAACTATATAAAGCAATTGATAAGTTGTGAGGACATGACGTCACAAACTGATAACAATCTTGGCAATTTGTGTTGTGATTATCATTGTTCCATAGTTTTACATACTTTTTCAAAAATTCATAACTTTCTTATTAGTTATCCGATTTTGCTAAAACTTGTTTTGATTGGTTTGTCTGATTTTTCTGCTTTTATTGAAAGTAAGTTATTTTTCGAGTGGACTTGTCCTTTAAAGCTGGAATTTGGAGGGCGAGTTGATTTTTATGCAATCTTTTTGGTGGACTTATTTTTCCAGTAAACTCACATAGAGATCTATTATAATCTGTTTTTTAATAGGTTTTTATGTATTTATTCACTATGAACCTATGGTTTTAAATATCATTACACATATTATTAAAATAATTCATAATTTATTTTTATCTCATTTTTTGTCAAAAGGAAAACTAGATAGACTGAAGGCATAATGTTATATATGGACAAAGTCTAAGATCCAAGATGGCGACTGCTTCGAGATTTATTCAAAGACTCCGTAATTTCTTCGCTGGGGTAAGTATTTGGCAAATTTATAACATTATGACAAGTTGAAATGACAAAAATGGATAGGTAATACGGATTGTCGATAAAATAGAGTATTCGAGAGGAGCTAGACCATACAGAGTACGAAAGTTATTCATTTATATATCTTGCTTTAGTCCCATGTGTCCATCTTGACGTTCGTAGCGAGCGCCTGGTACTGACCACTGACATAGATCTACATCATGTACTTGAGTAACATAGATTAGGTGCATTACTATCCTGGCTGCGCATATTTTTTTTACACAACTGTTCAGCCATTTTCGCGAAAAAATTCCAAGAAGTGCTCTGGTAAAACTAGTCTAGAGTCTAAGTCGTCAGCGCACTTTGACTTATGTGCAGGCACACGCCCAGGAAAGGGATGATGGTAGAAAGTAGGCTTGAGTCGGTACGGTCGATCACACCGGTACCCGATCGTTGTCGTCGGGTCCCGGTTTCGTTTTTTGAGAACCGACGCTCGAAAAAAATAACGAAATATGTAAGAAATTGCAGTTTTGCACACCACTAAATCAATCCACCTTAAAACTTAAGTATTTAATTGTTACCAATCATATTCTAGCTCATCCTGAATCAATCCGAACTGCTGATATAAATATATGGGTTGCAAGGCAGTTCGCCCCATGGGGTTATTGTTGCCAGCTGCTAGCTAGCTACTGTACTGGCAGGATTAATAAATCAGGTTGAAAGAAACATTAATGTTTGAATAATAAAACGGCTTTCTAAAAAGTAGTTCTTTACAACATACCGATCGAATAATTTTTAAAAGACAAAATAGATATTTTTTCTTTGATTTTGAACACCGCATGCTTCTTTTAAAAGCTGAAAATTACTTGGTAATCACAAGAAGTTTCGATACGGATAGCTGTTGCAAGGCAAGTTCAGACTAGTCTCGGAAAAATGCGCAGTGCTTCTCATTAGCTGTAATGCGTGCCAGAACGAACCCAAACAAAGACGTGATCGTAACGAGAAAAAAAATCGTTAAAAACTACGAGAGCACAATTGGAAAGACAACTACTCAAAATTATCGTAAGCAGATACATAACTTGGAGGAAGAAAACAATAGTTGTCCAAGGAAAGCCACATAAATAGTGATATTTAAGGAGTTACTATAGGTGCAATCATTATCGGAAGGGCCTGCTGCAATATCGGAATTACACGTGTTTAAATTGAACACGAGGCTATATGAGGCAAATAACGCCCTCTATGGTAAAAAGCAGTATAACAAAGGATTCGAGTATTTGCAGCAGGCCCCTTGCGATAAAAATGTACCCAGTTACTCCTCGATTATCACAATTTCTGAGGCATTTCTTGGGCGATTATTGAATTCATTGTCCAAGTTATCTGTCTGATTATGGTAATTTTGAGCAGTAGTTGTCTTTCCAATTGTGCTCTCGTAGTTTTTAATGATTTTTTTTCTCGTTACGATCACGTCTTTGTTTGGGTTCGTTCTGGCACGCATTACAGCTAATTACGAGGAGCACTGCGCATTTTTCCGATACTAGTCTGAACTTGCCTTGCAACAGCTATCCGTATCGAAACTCTTGATTACCAAGTAATTTTCAGCTTTTAAACAAAGCATGCGCTGTTTAAAATAAGAGATAAATATTTATTTTGTCTTTAAAATATTATATGATCGGTATATTGTACAGAAGAAATTTTTAGAAAGCCGTTTTATTATTCTAACATTCATATTTTTTGAGCAGATTTATTCAACCTGCATAAATCAAAATGGCGGCTCGAATGCTGTCTTTCTATTTCTGCCCCAGTTTTTTTTACTTTTAGAGGCACGAAAATGGCACTAAACATCGCCAATCATGGATAAAAAATAATGTCAATGGAAGAATATACCGATCTGAGCAGAGGTATTCATGTGTTGATTTATTTAATTGATAAAAAAGGTCACTTTTAAGGGACATACTGATGATATGCGCTTTTTATAGAGGCAAGTGGCAAATCCTGCGAGCTGATTTTGGGACACCGGGTCCCGATCGGTACAAGGCCGTCGGGACCCGGTTTATGAAAATCCCGACATGACTCGGGCCTAGTAGAAAGGGGAAAACAAGGATAGTTGAGAGGATATGGAGAAGGAAAAACAAGGAAATACATAAGGAAAGAGAAGAGGATAAGTCAAAGGAAATGCATAGAAATACACAATTGAAGAGCTAAGAGGATCATAGATCTAGACTAAGGAAAAACAGGGAATACATAGAAGGAGATAGATGACGAAGGAGAAAAGGATAGATTGAAGAAAAATCAAAGAAATAACGAAGGAGAAAAAAGGATAGATTGAAGAAAAAGAAGAAATACATGACAAAAGAGAAGAGGATAGATTGAAGGAGAACACAGAAATACATAATGAAAGAGAAGAGAGGATAGATTTAATCCGAAACAAATAACGAGTATGTACAGCTCCAGCAATCCAACAAAACTGCTAAGGGTAATGCTAGACTCTAGCTCTAGTCGTTTGCACAGTATATTTGACTGAAGTGGCTAAACAGTTGTGTAAAAAAAATATGCGCATCCTGGCTGTGTATTAAAAGCTGTGCTTTTGATTCTCAACATTTCAAACACCACTGTATAAAACTCAACTGATTTTACTAAAAATTGGTTCTTTAGGCCATGTAAACAAATATAATATAGGCCTACATGTTTAGCGTCCCTGCCCGCTTCCTTTTTGGGGGCCGCCTCCTATTTTTTTTTTTTTGTTGTTGAAATTTTTGATTTTTTTTTTTTTTTTTTCAGGTGGGCTGTATCTAATACAGACCACCTTATAATGTTGTTAAAATTGCCTTTATTATTTCTTTATTTCGACCCACTTTTTTGTGAGCAAGATAACTTGAAAATGGTTTAATCAAATACCTTGAAATTTGGCACACGTATTTATAGGCATTGGAACAAAGCACAGAAAAAATTTCAACCTTGAACTTGACTGATGACGTCATCTAGGCGCCATTTTGTGAAATTTTCTGAAAATCAACTCATGGTCATATCTTCATAACCGAAAGCCATTTCTCATTCATATTTATCATGATCAAGGTCAATATCAGTCCGGTCAATTTCAAGACAAAAAACGCGCGTGTGCGCGTCCGTCCGCGCGTCAGTGCGCGCGCAAAATTGTAAAATGCTCAAAATCGTCTTAAATTTATTTTGCATACGTTTCAAGTCATTTTAAGCATTTTATAAAAAAAATCGCGCACAAGCGCATGCGCGTAACACCGCGCGTAACACCATTACACAACGTAGAATCGCCATTTTTTTTTCTTTCATGATAAATCCCATATTTGTTCAAACAATTTGATACTATGTTCATCTTTTTATGACTATTAATATTAAGATGAGCGTCCATTCAAGATAAATGTCCGTGCGCGCGAGCTCTTATAATACATAGCATATATGGGCAAAAACATGCCTATACAAAATCCATTATAGCTCTTTGGAATGCACCGGAATCCTCATTTTTTTCTTCATATTCTGATAGAGTATGAGTCAGAGATATGATTTCATGTCTCATTTGGCCATTAAGTGTATCGTGACATCATCACAATGGCCTTGGAACTCAAAATACGAATTTGCATATTATGACGTCAGCATATTTATGTAAAATTGATTGTATCTCTGTAAAAATTGATCAATTTTCTTCAAAATTTTGATATGTTGTAGCTAAGACAATTCTCTACAAGCGCAGTAACAACCATTTTTCATTTTGATGACGTCATCATAGTCAAAATCTCAATTAAAGGCCTCATGTCAAACATTTCATAATTTGCGTTATCCCTATAGAAGGTGAATTTCGTTCACGTCATGAAACTACATGATATTGTTTTTTAATAATTTTTAAGCAGTATCTCGCTTATTTTTGCTTTATTTTGTATCAAATTTAAGTTGACCAGCCCACCTATACTTGTTCCAAACAAGTATTACATGTCTAGTTTATTTTTGTTTTTTTAAAAGAAAAAAACACGAAAAACCCTGCAAACAAACTATTCATGTGTGCAGTGCAGTGCTTTGACTCTATATATATGCTTTGCTGGAGTGCGGTGGGGTGCGGGCGCACGCGTGTGTTAAGTTAGCGACCGTATTGATGAACATGCGCGCGCCCGGACCCAACCGTCGGTATGGTATTTGGGGGGGGGGGGGGGTAATTCTTACAAGTCCTCATAACTGCCATTCTTTTGTCTTTTGTCTATAGTCTACAGCAGGCGCGTATGCAGGGGGGGGGGGGGGGGGGTTTGGGGTTAAACCTACCCTTGAGTTTTTTTTATGTATGTTTTTTGGGAAAACCCCCCCTTTTAAATTAAAAAAAAAAACAAAAAATTATGCCAATGGCTGACCTAAAAAAGGTGACCTTACCCTCCCCCAAACGGAACAAAATGTCAAATTTTCAAATTTTGAGACCAAAAAAAAAGAAGAAAACAAGTGTCCTCTTACCCCCCCCCCCCTCCCCGCTTATTCAGGGACTGGCTGAGTCGTTGCGATTTTTTTCAAGGACCCCGAACAAAAAAGTGTCTCTTACCCCCCCCCCCCCCCTCCCCGCTTATTCAGGGACTGGCCGAGTCGTTGCGATTTTTTTTAAGGACCCCGAACAAAAAAGTGTCTTACCCCCCCCCCCCCCCCCCCCCCGTGAGTCATTGCGATTTTTTGGGGCCCGATTTTAACCCCCCCCCCCCCCCCACCACTGGTCTACAGGTACTGTAATTTTTGCTCTCTTCTATACAAAACCTTACAAAATCCACTCTAAACTTATGGGCACAAAGCCTTTGTTGGACTGTGTCATGAATTCACTTCTGTAGGAGCATGAAATAAACACCAAATCACTGGAATCAGGATTTAAGTTACTTACAATTGCTAGATTATCTTATTGAAGCCTTCAAGGACTCTTCACCTGTATTCTGCACAAATTTGCATTTTTCCAAGATGAAAATGAATCCTTCCGCAATTATCTACCCTGGACCAACCCTGCTAATGATCATACAAGCTTGTATGCAGGAGTACAAGCTTGTTTCATATATCCACTTTTAGATAAGTGACTGAATTCCTGATCCATTTCTGCCTGGGGACAGGTACAGTAAGTGATGATTAAAGGGCAAGTCCACTCCAAAAATAACTTACTTTCAATAGAAGCAGAAAAATCAGACAAACCAATCAAAAAAAGTTTGAGCAAAAATTTTTGCAAAATCGGATAACTAATAAGAAAGTTATGAAATTTTAAAAAAATTGTACATTTATATATGGAACAATGAGAATCACAACACAAATTGCCAATATGGTTAGCAGTTTGTGACGCCATGTACTCACTATTTATCAATTGCTTATATAGTTTAATCCCATTAATTTCCCTTTTTATCCCCCAAAACTTGATTTTCCCATGCCTTTGCCCAGGTACCGGTAATATGATTTGTATGATATTGCGTGCATGACATTTCACAAAATATTGTATGAACTTTTCAGAATTGATACTATTTTCTGAATATTGTATATTCATAAGTATTGATTTTTTAATAAATAAATCGTTTATCAAAATTCACACTTTTCATGATTTAACTGGAAAAAAACTACTCTATATTAGTGCATGCACAAAAAAAAATATTACCAGTACTATCAATCTAACTTGGATGCTGGTGTGAAGAAATAAGATTCTTAGGGAGAAAATAGGAAATTGATATTATCAATATAAAGAAAATGATTAGTGGATAGTGAGGACATGAGTCACATGACGCCACGGACTCATGAGTGAGTTGGCAAAATGTCTTGTGATTTTCATAGTTTTTCATGTCATTAAAAATTCATAACTTTCTTATAGTTACCAGATTATGCTCATACTGTTTTTGATTGGTTTGTCAGATTTTTCTGCTTCTATCGAAAGTAAGTTATTTTTGGAGTGGACTTGGCCTTTAATGTGTTTTATTGGATGAATATGAAGTTTTGATTGCAGATAATTTAATCTTATTAGAATATTTCCTTTCTTTTACCTGATTTATAACCAATAGAGGGATCTCCAACCAACTCTGAATAACCGATACGCTTATGGACAGTCACTAAGGTATTTTCATGTCTAGATTATTCACATCGTAGAAATGTAATAAGATGTTATGTACCGGTACTAATGTTACAGTAATGTATTAAAGGGATAGTTGAGTTTTGTTGGAGAGGGCGCTACACAAAATAAAAAACTGAGTGTCAAATTTGAAAGAACATAATATTTAAATGACAAAATCATCTTTGTTCAAAATCGGTTCAGAGACGGCTCAAATATAACGATTCCTCATACTTGTGTACCACCACAAATATTAGATATTTTGAAAAAATTTGAAAAAAAACACACAAAATAATGCCTTTTACGTCATATTTAAGCCAATGCCGATGTTGGCTTTTTTGTTGGCATTTTCGTGTTGCTTATATTACTCACAATTAGCCGGCTCATGTATTGTTATTTTTAATTAAATAAATAATTAAGAGTCACCGTGTTTTTTTGAAAGTGGAGCTGAATTGGTATGATCATATTGGCTAAATTCCACACATTTTGGGATCTGAAATGACCTTCATAGCAATTTGAGGTTCTAAAAGGGCACTATAAATATCATAGATAAGAATAAGATCAATAACCATGCACTTTGAAGGCATTTGCGGTCTGAAAAGAGAACTCAACTATCCCTTTAATGTTATGGTGACTTTCAGTAATATCTTAGAGAGATACATGTAGATTACTTGTCATTGTGCAAGATTCCACAGCCCCTAATACGGGACTTGAATGTATGTCACTGCAAACATGGGAAGAGAGTCTTACAGTCAGTTTTCTTTCACAATATATAAGTGAAAGTAATGATATTACCACCCTATTTTGTTCACTGTCTTTTCATTATGAGCACTCCAAGCATCAAGGTGCATTCTGTTGTCATTTCTGTACAGGCTAATTATACTGAGAAAGTTTTCTATTCCTTACAATTCTTCTTCTCTTCCAGTGTCCTAGCTACTTTTTGTAAATAGGGGGTGTTTCACAAACTTGTCATCAGTGACAAATGACAGGTTGTGTTATAAGCTACTGATATCCTTGCTTCTGATTGGTTATCAGCAGATTTGTCACTGATTTTTGTCATTTGTCATTGAAAAAAAGGCTTTGTGAAATGGGTCCCTGGACTAAATGTGTACCATTATTCAAACAAGCTCTCATGCCCTTGTAAACATTTTGACATGTCCCCCTGTGAAAAATCTTATTCACTTTAAACATTGCATTGATGCAGAACCCAACCAGATCCTGTGCTACCCGATGGCCCTTCTCACCGTCTATCAGCAAATTACTACTGTTCTCGTGATGGCAGGAGGGAGTCACAGAGACCCATTCATGTGTACTCTGCCACTCAAAGGCTCCCCGCTCCTCAGGCTGAAGAAGGAGGGTGAGTCTTTGTTCTCCACAACTCCTTTTCTAAAGCAGGACTTCATGAATGTTCATCTTCAATACCAGTGCTGGAATTGCATTTAAAGACATGTTGGCGTAAATCAATTTTAAATCATGAAGAAGATTGAAACATGTAGTATGAAGTTTGAACTAGTGCAATATAATACAAATTTATCAAAATAATCACTAAAAAAAGCATACCTAACATTTCCACATTTGAGACTGTGAGTTCAGCACATTTTTGTGACTACTTTACACAGCTAAATTCCCTATTTTTATTTGCTCAATACTTAACTATTAGACATCTTACCAACAATTTTGGGGTAGATATACAGTGTGTAAATGTTGTCCTGAAATGACTGGACGTTCTATGAAAATGTGGGTTGAAACTTATTTTCCATAATTACCCGAAATTCAAGATTATCTTCAGGAAAATTGCAAAATCGGATCCCTGTTAATTGCATCGCTTGATGGATTCACTATATCTTTATATCAAGTGGTCATTGCGATTTTTGGTTACTGGTAATGGTATACATGTATATATGCATTCCTGTTATTAACATACATGTAGTCAGCTTAGCAAGCACTTTGGATAAAGTTTGTATATAACTTAAAGCAAAGATTGAGCCCTCAAAAAGATTAAAAATTAGTTCTTGATTTCCAATCTTTGGCTTCATTACCATTTAAATTTAGCATTAAAGCCACATAGAAGTCAGTGTCCATGTGTTTTGCATCATAATTCGCTGACACCCAATTTGATTGTATTACTAATTAATATGTCTGTGTGTGCAAAGGTGTCTGAAGCAGCGAACCTGTGGTCCCACCAGAAAATTCTCCAAAATGCTTTCATATATTGAGGGTGAGGAAAATTTGATATATTATGATGAGAATTCCTCATGTCGGTAGGCAAGAGAACATTGGATTACACAAGACCTGTAGGTTGTTAAAGTCCACTCTTGGTGATTGCCAGCACCTGTCATTGGGCGAACACCTAAATGGCCTACCATGAAAACCCACTACTGTGAGCCTTTAAGTCCATTTTTTAAAAGTTGTACATGTATGCAATGCAGTGGTGACTTTATCACTGGTTTGATATGAATGTGTGTGCCCTTATCTTTATGTCTTTGTACAGAGAGAGTGCAGTTGGGCCTGCGATGAAGAAACCTGTTATACCAGGACCACCTCCACCTGCCATGAAACTTTCGACAGATGAACCCTATCTATGATGCATCCATTTTTAATATTCTTGAGGAGAAGGAAAAGAAATGCCCTTGCTAACCACTAGAGGTCCATTTCAAGTGTCATTGATTTCTTGGTTGTGCACTCATACTCAATATGTTTGTGCTGTTTGTTTCACATATACAGAAATACCAAGTTATTGGAAGTATGGATGAATATATGACTCTATACTTCATAGGATGGTCAATAAAATTATTTGTTTGTTTCATCTGTTTTATGCAATTTAAGCTTGATATGTGATAAAACATTTTCTATTTATAATGTTTCTGGTCGTCTTTACAGATAATAAAAATATGTCATGCCTATGAAACAATATTAAGAAGACATAAATCAAATCTTTGACAAATCTTTCTACAAATCCGTCATATGCAATTAACGTAATGCTTTTACCAGGAAACTCTTTGACCCAAGATATTTGCTGTGGTGTAGGTCTAAGCTTTTGTAAGCTTCCTAGCAATATCCATTCAAAATGATTGTGTTTGGCATGCATTTATGGAATTTATGGTTACAAAGGCTGTGAGAAATTGTAAATATATGAATAAACTATGAGTCAACATATACCATTAAAATTGAAACAGTTGGTTGTATTGAGTCATATTTGTTGTGTTGTTATAAAATAGTGATCTGGCATTTTTTCTTTAAAGATTTTGGGGCTAGAGTTCCATATGTACCCCCCCCCCCACTAAAATTTAAAAAAATATATAATATGTTTCAGAGTGATATACCTAATAATAATGTAATATTTAAAACACGGGAAACTAGGGTCAATGTTAGGGTTAGACAATGAGAGATGGAAAGAAAGGGTAATAATATACATATATGAAAAACTTACTTATGGAACTCTTTCCGATTTTGGACTAGGGCTTCAGTTACGATTGGGTATTGGCCTTTATGATAAGTTTGGCTGAGTTGTTGCAGGAGCATTCATAGTCCAGAATCTGGCCAGGGCTTTATCCTCCATGATCTCATTCCCCTACCTGCTGCCAGCCGAAGATGGAGAGATCCACAAATTCGTACTAGTGTCCCTTTATACGCCCAGTCAAAAACTAAAACAATTTAGCAGGCGCCCGAATTCAGGATAACGCCATCTTCGGCTGGCATCAGGTAGAGGGGATTGCCGTTTAGTGTCGATGCTCTTGAAATAAAATCGGCCTGATTCTGGACTAGAATACATGCTGCAGATTCTATGAAAGAATAATGTGCAGAGAGAATGCTCAGGTATTCTTCTGAGTAGTGATATAATACTAACAGGGATTTATAATTAGTATATACAGGGAAATATGCAGGGGTGGCGCTCCGGGGGGGGGGGGGGGGGGCAAGAGGAAGGCACAGTGCCCCCCAATTTTTCAAGTACCCCAAAAGTGCCTTTTTACATAGGTAAAGTGCCCCTTTAACTAGGTAAGAATTAAGTGTCCCTTTCTACATAGGAAAAGTGCCCCAATTAATTTCTAAAAGTGCCCATTCCCCTTTCCACCTCTGATAAGTGGTGGAAAGCATGGGTTCCCATTTTCCTTTGCAATAAGTTTTCATTTTCCATTCTCATAACTCAAAATGCCTCATTTAATCTCTAGTAAGTTCCCCTTTTCAGGTACGAGAAGCGCCCATTTTCACATTTGATAAGTGCCCCCTTTACCTCTGATAATTGCCCTATTTAAATCTGAGAGGTTCCCCTTTTGCTTTGACGAATTCCCCTTTTCCTTTGTAAAAAAGGGGGGGGGGCAAGAGGAAGGCACAGTGCCCCCCAATTTTTCAAGTACCCCAAAAGTGTCCCTTTCTACATAGGAAAAGTGCCCCAATTAATTTCTAAAAGTGCCCATTCCCCTTTCCACCTCTGATAAGTGCCCCCTTTTGACACGTAACCCTTTTCCTTTCACAAGTTCCCATTTTCCTTTGCAATAAGTTTTCATTTTCCATTCTCATAACTCAAAATGCCTCATTTAATCTCTAGTAAGTTCCCCTTTTCAGGTACGAGAAGCGCCCATTTTCACATTTGATAAGTGCCCCCTTTACCTCTGATAATTGCCCTATTTAAATCTGAGAGGTTCCCCTTTTGCTTTGACGAATTCCCCTTTCCTTTGTAAAAAGTGCCCCTTTCCCTTTTAATAATTACCCCTTTTTAACTAGGATAAGCGCACCTTATATTTTCACATGTGTCCCTTTCCTTTTTAATAAGAGCCCCTTTTCATTCTCATAAATGCCCTTTTCATCTCTTGTTAATGACCTTATTCAATTCTGAGAGATACTCGTTTTTCTTTGACAAGTGCCCCTTCCCCTCCTAATAAGTGCTCTTTTCATCTCCGAACTTATAAGTGCCCATTTTATTTTGACACGTCCCCCTTTTCCTTCCTAATAAATGCTCTTTCTTCTTCTTAGAAGTGCCCATTCCCCTTGTCACAATTACCTTTTTTTTTATCTTTGATAAGTCCCCGTTTATTTTAACATGTGCCTCTTTTATATATAGGATTTTATTGAAATCAAAACATAAAATACCAAGAGCAAACAGTCCAAAGACTGACAACTGTCTCGGGTACAAAATAACATTTAAATCAAATATACATCATAAAATAGCAGTAATGAATAAAAACATAAAGTTACATAAGTTAAAATATCAAATAACTAAACTATTATCAGTAAAATATTGCAAAAAGGACATATAAATAATAACAACAATAAGTATACATCATTACAATTACATCAAAAGAGGGCTCTAGAGATGTGCAATTACTAAATTAGGCACAGACCGAGAGTCCAATGAAAAGAAAATTAAAATGCATAAGACTGGGTTTAAAAAGATCGATGGTGAAAAGAGGGAAATATTTAAGCTAAAAAATATTTAAAGTATTGAGATGGTACATGAAACATACAATAAAGAAATTCCCAAGAGAGCATAGAAAGAGAAGAGAGTAAGATAGAGGAAGAGAGGGGGAAGAAAATGAGAAAGGAGAAGAGAGAGAGAGAGAGAGAGAGAGGGAGAGCGAGAAAGAGAGAGAGATATAGAACGAAAGATAAGGGGGAGGATAGGAAGAAAGTTAGGGAAATATCAATACCATCTGTAGAATCTGTAAAATCAGCCCAGGTATTCAATATTGTAGACATCATTGCAATTAACCTGATATACATGTAACATACAATAACGAAATTCCCAAGAGAGGATAGAGAAAGAAAAGAGTAAGATAGAGGGAGAGATGGGAGAAAAAAAAGGAGAGAGAGAGAGAGAGAGAGAGAGAGAGAGAGAGAGAGAAGGAAGGGGATAGTTAGAAAGTTAGGGAAATATCAATACCAACTGTAGACTCGGTAAAAACAGACATTGCAATTAATCTGAAATACATGTAACATACAATAAAGAAAATCCCAAGAGAGCATAGAAAAAGAAGAGAATAAGACAGATGGAGAAAAAGAGGAAATGGGAAAGGGGAGAGAGAGGGAAGGAGACAGAGAGAGAGAGAGAGAGAAGGAAAGTTAGGGAAATATCAATACGATCTGTAGACTTTGTAAAATCAGGACAAGTATCTAGATTGTAGACATTCTTTTTAATAAGAGCCACTTCCCCCTTCTCATAAAAGGCCCCTTTCACCTCCGATAAATGCCCTTATTAAAGTCTAATCGGTGTCCCTTTTCTTTTAACTAATGCACATTTCCCTTTATCATTAGTGCCCCCTTTTCATTCTCATAAGTACCTCTTTTCACCTCTGATAATTACCTTTTAACAATGATATGCCTCCCTTTTTCCTTTCTAATAAGGAACCTATCCCTTTTTCATAAATGACCCTTTTCACTTCTTATAAATGCCCCTATCAAAATGATGGGTGCCTCTTTTCCGTCGACAATTGTCCATTTCCCATTCTCATGAATTCCCTTCCTATCCCTGGGGCGTGCCTCTTTTTACTAATAAGTGTCTTAACCCTTTCGATAAGTGTCCATTTTTCCTCATCATTAAACGTGCCCCTAATTTCAAGCGACTAAGAGCAATTTCCCCAAAAGCTCGCTCGTAGTTATAGATGTTATAATTATGTTACTTATCAAAGGTCTTTTCAGTCTTCCGTTAGAAAATGTGCTTAAAACCCCATCAGGATTGGGTATTTCTTCTTTATAAGACGTAATTTTTTCGCACTGCGACCTCACAAATCTTAAAAATTTCCATCGCTCGCTTTGCTCGCTCGCAAATGAATTTTCACACCATCACACCCAACTGCAAAAAATATGATGCTTATGCAATATCTTATATGATATATTAAGAAAAACAAATATTGAAATCATCCCTGAAAATGTAATCACAATATAGGGGTATATAATGTACCAATGTCCAAAAGAATTCCCTTTGAAGGTGCCATTTTTTCTCCAGAAAGTGCCCTTTTTTGTTGGTCCCCCCCACTTTGGAAGTCGCTCCACCGCCTCTGCTATGAGGAGAATCACCCGCGGAAAATTACCAGTATGACCTTATCCCCCACCACTTGCCATTCAAACAAAAATTTCAATAGATAGCGGAATTAAACTAAAATGTTCGAATGACGACCTAGAAAACTTGAGGGTCGAATGATGAATTTTTTTCTTCTATGCAAAGTCTCTCAACCGAGCGCAGTGGAAAAATGTGGGTTTCCACCTTTTATTGTTCAGACTCTTGTCAGTGAAAGGAATGCATAGCGCCATGCAAAATTGTTCTGCTGGCTTGTAAGAGAAAATTGAGTTCTGGTAAAGGTACATAGTTAATTTTGCTGATCTTTTTCATTTTTGGCTTTGTAGGAATCCAGTGTGTCAGAAAACGAATGTCCACTAAAAGGGACTGCTTTTCAAATACAATGTCCTGATATTTAAAAAAAAAAGACTTTCAAAATCTTGTATGCCAACGTCGTGTAAGTCCTACAAACGAATTTTCCTGTGCAGTGCTGTTCACCGTAAAGGAGAGTCACCCCGGAAATTAACCAGTATGGCCTTACCCCCCCCCCCACAAACACCCCAAAAAAGAAACTATTTTCGGTAGAGAGCAAAATAGAGAGGAGCTCGCAGGATACGTGACAATGTTGCCAATTTGTGTATCACTGATGACAACTTCGAAAATTCACATCTTTCCTATTTTAAATCGTATATTGCTCAAACTATCCTTCATTTTTGTCTTTATATAATTTGTTGCTTTATCAAAACCAACTTAGTATCAGGGTAGGCATCCCCTTTAATAATGTTGATTTACAAGTAACTATTCATGTTAATTCAGTATACATCTGTAGTGTTATAACAACTATATTTTTGAAAAGAAATTGACACGTGAAATATAAATGTAAAATAAACCATATTGACTAAGCTAAACTGAGCATTCGAATGGCGTCGGCGGCCTCTTCACCTTGACGGTCGCTTGTTATATTTGTTTCTTCTATGCAAAGTCTCTCAACCGAGCGCAGTGGAAAAATGTTGGTTCCCCCTTTTATTGTCTCGGCTCTTTTATTTTCCTTGCTATAATTCTTCTTCTGTGGAAGGATTGCATAGCGTCATGCATAATAGTATTGTTCTCCTGGCTTGTAAGAGAAAATTGAGTTCTGGTAAAGGTACAACATTAATTTGCTGAGCTTTTTTTTTTGGCTAT